TCAGAATGCACTTTCAGAACCACATATCCTGAGAGGGTGCACTTTTAGAAATTGAGTCCGCTGCAAAATACGCTCTAGCCGCTTGCTTTTGCATCTGAATATTTGAAAAACGGGTGATGTTTAATTTTTGCAAAGAAAAAATAGCGATATCCAATAGCCAAATTACCAAAAAAAGCATCGCGAAATTTAGAAGTTTCAAGAGCTATAAAACTTTGCAAGTTTATTTTTATTGTGAATATTTGACATAATTTGCTAAACATCTTGAAAACTGAATCACCTCCCAATCGTCATCCACATCCCTATACTTTAAAAAGGGCTCGTCCAAATGGAGTGACTGACCGAACAAAAAATTTTTTGACAGTCAATTCAAAAGAAATTCTGGTGTCCCATGCGAAAAAAATAAGACCCCTTCTACTAAGCTTACGCGCCTAGCGCAGAAACCGCCTAATATTTTATGGTACTTTCATCAGTTGCAATGTTTGATTAATTTGCTTCTCCACCATGTCATAAATTTGACACTTTTGAGAAAAACTGATAAAACAACGAGAAGTCAAGGAACTTGCACTTATCCGGTTTTTCTCTTAGCTTCAAAACCAGTGAAGTGGAGAAACAAGAATCTTTGGTTCTATCGCACGATAATTTATAACATCTCTTGTCCAGGTTCATGTAGACGACTCTGTTTTTTGGGAAGCTAGTGGGGAAAGCGCGGTATAACAGTGACATAAAAAAGTGACCGCTCTAGTGCAAACAGGCATGGATAGACTGGATAAGAATCAATTTCGTTAATTTTTGAAGGTTTGCGGAATTTCCTACATAGTCTCACAGAAGGGTTTTGGAATACACATGATTTATTAATTTGGAGTGATGTTGGCCATAGTCGAGCGATTCATTTTTAGTCAAATTAACCAGTTCCACGAAAAGCTTTTCGAAATTAACGAAACGCCAAGTGCTTCTTCGTTTTTGAAATGATAAAAAATTCCTACTACTCCTTCCCCCTCCCCCACGCATACATTCTTACTCTTGATCAGTTTAGTAAGCTAATGACCAGAAGGTTATTGGTGTATTTAAAAAAATCAGGAAGCTCATTCTTGAAACTTCTGGTTGCAGACAAAACAAAACTGCCTTTGCAGCCAGCAATCGTGAAAAATTTTTTGTTTTTTTTCTGCCCGTAC